GGCGGGGAGGGCTCCGCTTGCAGGTAGCACCAGGTCCCCCTCTAAGTCCTCGCGCTGCCCTGCGTGGCTGCAAGCTGGCTGAATGTCTAGCTGAAGTCAGCCTAGGAAGCATGAGCATCCCAAGTACCTGCACCTCTGCATCACATCCAAGCCCTTCCCCCGGGGAGATGATAACCATACCCTCTTCCATAACCCTTATGTGAATCCACTTCCGATTGGCTGTGAAGCTGAATGAAAAGAATCTGGACCATCATGGGCACTGAAGACCACAGCACTGGCTTGGACCACTGCTCTGCATGAGGACCAGAAGAGGAGTACGGGACTTTAAGCTCATCTTCCCTATTTGTATTAAATGATGATCATTATACTGCTCTTCTATCCCTTGACCTATACCAGGAGATGGCTGAAATACATAAGTTGCGCTTAAGGAGAAAGAAAGAAAGAAAGAAAGAAAGAAAGAAAGAAAGAAAGAAAGAAAGAAAGAAAGAAAGAAAGAAAGAAAGAAAGAAAGAAAGAAAGAAAGAAAGAAAGAAAGAAAGAAAGAAAGAAAGAAAGAAAGAAAGAAAGAAAGAAAAGAAAGAAAGAAAGAAAGAAAGAAAGAAAGAAAGAAAGAAAGAAAGAAAGAAAGAAAGAAAGAAAGAAAGAAAGAAAGAAAGAAAGAAAGAAAGAAAGAAAGAAAGAAAGAAAGAAAGAAAGAAAGAGGGAAAGGAATGAAGGAATGAGTTCACTTGGGTAATTCACAAGCAATAAAAATGTATTGCTCACAGTTCTGGCCTCAGAGAAGTCCAAGATCAAAGTGCTGGGAGACTCGGTGCCCAGTGAGGGTTCTTTGCTGCATGGATGGCCCCTTCTTACTGCGTCCTCACTTGGAAGAAAGGCAAATGGGGTAAGTAAACTTCCACAGGCTACGTTTAAAGGGCACTAGTCCGTTCACAAACACAGCCAACTGTGAATGGAAGACACTCAGAAAGAGCAAGTACTGTTTTTTGGTTTCCTTTTCTTCCGAACACTGCAGTATAACAACTGTTTCACGGCACTTACATTGTGTTAGGCATTAAGATGACGTGACGTATCCTGGAGGCTGTGCCTAGGTTATGCGCAAAGACTCCACCATTTATTGCACAGCATTTGTGTGTGACTCCAGCTTTCTGGGTCATGGAAGAAAATCCAGGTGTGAATAACCCCACAATACTGCGGGGCAACAGTAACGATCATCAACATTCTCAGCCACCGCCAGCCCAGCTCAACTGAATCAGTTGTTTATTCCTCTTCAACCCACCACTCTCAAACACAGCGGCTGCAGATACCACAAATAATGGCTTATCTGACTGTTTCTGTGGACCAGATTTCAAAAGCAACTTGGCTGCCCAGATGTGTCTTGAGAGCTCTCAGAAAGTTGCTCTCAGCTGGCTCTGCAGGTATCTGAAGGTGACACGGAGCTGTGGGGCATCACGTCCACACTCACACAGCTGATCACGCGCTACTGGTTGTTAGGGGAAGTCTCCGTGATTCTCCAAATTGCCCTTCTCTCAGCACTTCTCCAGTGTCCCCACAATTTGGTGACTGGCTCACCCTCAAGTGGATCACCCTAGGCTAGAGAGGGGCGTAGTGCATGATGGGAGCTGCTACGGACTGGACCAGTCGTCTCAGGAGTAACATGCCTCACTCCCAGGACCTCCGAATGAGACTGTTTTGGGGGGATGAGGTCCTCACAGTAGTAACTGAGTAAAAATCAAGCCATTCAGGTATGTCCCAAGCCAATGTGATAAGAATGAGATATCGGGACACACGGGGCAAAACTCACGCAGTGGCCATCTGAAAGCCCAGCAGGGAGTCTCAGAAGAAGCCTGCCTCACTCATACCTTGATTCTGGTCACTGAGAGATAAATGCATGTGTTCTTCAAGCTACTCAGTCCGTGGAATGCTGGCATGACAGCCAAAGCAAAGTCAGACAGAGGCCATGAAGGAAGCCACTTTCCATCTGGACTACCCTATTGCATTAAAAATAATGCCTTTTTTAAATGCAGGCCATACACTGTCTAATTCCACTGATTCAGCTGATATGAAGCAGTACCAGGATTTGAACTCAGGTCCTTGGATTCCCAAGCATATGATCTTTAGACAATGTGGCGCTTGCTATATGTCCTTGGCTTTTACTTCTGGAGGGGAATGGGCAATCACTCCAACTTGCAGGGTAGATCCAAAAGGCCCTAAAGCTGAGTCACCCAGTTCACATCAGAATATCAACTCCTGAATCATCAACTGTGAGTACAGGGGATGGGCTTTGATGCTGAGTGGGCAAACGAGTACAGGGCTGGTAGCATGGCTGAAGAAGAAGGGAGAGGAAGCTTAGAACATGTGTTCAAGACAGAGAAGCAAATGACTAGAAGCTGTATCTGGGCCCACCCTTCCGATGATTCTATCTCAGCATGAGCGACCAGGCAGGGTTCCCAGCTCATCACACAGACAACCACATTCAGCCTTGTCAGCATCTATTCCTATCGTCATTTCAGAGGTGAGGAATGTCAGGCACATGAAAACAAAGTCACCTACCCAAGGCAAAGCACCTTGTAAGAAAATATGGTACCCACCATACCGAGTGGGTACATGAGTGAGCAGTACCAACCTTGTATTTAACCGCTTCTCAGGGACACAATGGCAAGTGCTGTTGTAGGGAGGCTGTCCCTTGTGTGGCTTCATCAAATGCAGCCAACATTTCTAAGACTGCATAAATGCAGACAAGAAGTGGAAACAGAAAGTTCTGCTCAGTGCCTTGTCACTCTTGTAAACACAGACACTTAGTCGTCGAATTAAATGGCATTTATTATGCAAAACCCTTTGGTTTTATCCTGCCTGCGAGTGAGTGGTAAGAGCAGGCCTTCAAACATCTCTTTGTTTTCAACCCTTGTGGTGAGGAGTACCTGTTGAACCCTGATGAGAAGTGCATCCAAGTGGCAAACAATTATGAAATCCACCAAATGACTTTTAAGCAGAATCTTGGCTTTCAAGAATTGCTCCTGTGTGATGTCAGCACCTACAGCCTGCTACTCAGACTCCCAGGGAGGCAGGGCTGCGGAGCCATCCCTGCCCGGCTCACAAAGCTGTGGCCTGATATTGCAGAGAGAAAAGAGAGTATAATGATCTGGGGCCTCCAGCCCGTTGCCACTGAGGACCCCTCTCTGCTCACCAATCAGACACACGGGAGCCATGAGACGGATGAAGGCCATCACATCTACACAGTTTGTAGCTAAAGGCAGTTCACTATTCTATTTTTTTCTGCTCTTTAGCTATTTTTTTTTTTTTAGGATTTTGAAGATCTCTTCATTGCTTTAGGTGATAAGTAAAATAAGGAAATCTAAGGTTTCATTTTTACTTCCTGAAATCTGTCCCCATTTATTATTGTTAAATTAACCAGTATGAATGAATTCTCTCAGTGACCTCAGGGCCTCTTGTATCAGTCATTATTCCCCAGGGAGACAGAGTCAGCAGGAGAGCCACATTTTCCTACCGATGTGTACAGATAGATATACACATCCGAGGGAGCTTTAAAAGACTCCCTGAAAGTGTGGATGACGTCAAAGTTGGTTTTTGCCAAGCTAAACTTACGAGATCAGAAATAAACCTGTTTCATCTTACATTAGACTTTTCAGAAGTACCCTTGCATACATTTGAGGCAGAGGATAAAAGAAAAACAAAGAGAGAAAGATTGATTTTTCAGAATGGGTTCATGGAATTTCGGAGAAGCTCACTGGTTTCTGCTAAGGCCTTCAGTGGGCAGTCATCTGCTTCACTCAAAGACTAGTGATTGAAAAGCCCGACACACCTAAAAACGCCTTCACAGCCATGTCTAGGCTCTGATCACAGAGCTGGGTACCATATTGGATAGTACAGAACGGAACATTCCCATCATGGCAGACAGTCCACTAGATGGAACCCACTGTGTGGTCTTGCTTCATTTTCTAGGCCTGTCCCATTGGATGCCAACTGACTCTAAAAAGCGTGCTATTCCAGATTTGTCATCTCCCTAAACATCTGGATAATCCCATAAATCCTGAATGAGAAGCTCGTACAAAGGTAGTTTGAAGCATTGTGTGATCTTTGCTTGGAATACTTGTGTGTCAAATCCTAAACATCAGAGTTCAATGCCATCAAGGTTTCTTCCCTGCTCAAGTTGACTCTTTGTAGTCATTCATTCTTCCAGGGCCTTCAAGTTTTCCACAGAGTCATCAGCATCCAGCCAGTCAACGAATAACTGAGGAAATGCATGGAGGATGGTTTGGAACCAGCCTAGGCAGTGGCTGTGTCATTGCTGCTCGGGCATCACAGTGTGTGGACTCACCTAACTGCTAGAAAGGATGAGTGCCAAGGGGATGAATTAAGCAGAATGGTGAGCATCTAATGTGCCATCACATCATGTAGAAAGGTTCATTAATTCCCCACACTGTGTATATGTAACAAGCTTTCTGCATTGTGTAGTATCTGTCTTATACCTCTGACATGCTGTGACTTGAACGTTGCTTAAATGTGTCCCCCCAAGAGTCCAGGTGCTGCAATTGAATCTGCATTGTGGAGAAGAGATCAGAAACATCAGCTGAATGTGTTAAGAGATGAAGCCTTTGGGAGGTGATTAAGTCTTTGGATCATCTGGGAGGGGACATCATGACTGAGTCCTGGCGACTAAAGATGGAGAGAGGTTGCAGGTGTTCTGGCATAGCGGGTTCACGCTAGGCCCCGCCCCTTCCAGGTCTCGGACTCCGCCCCCTCGGCAGCCTCAGCCACGCTCCCAGGCCTCCGACCCCGCCCCGCCCCCAGCAGCTTCCGCCACGTCCCTCCAGGCCTCCGACTCCTCCCCCTCCACGGGGCCCCGCCCCTCCTGCCCGGTGCCGATGCACGCTTTTTCTCCGCCCCTTACGCTCTGCGGCGCCCCGCCCCCGGCAGGCTCCGCCCCGCCCCCGGCAGCGGCCGGACGCCGTGTTTACCCGCGGTGCATGGCGGGGCGGTCTCGCAGGACACCCGGGCCCTCCTCCGGCCAACCTGCCTGCCCGGGGCGGCGCGGAGCCCTTGCGGCGGCAGCATGCACCGGAACCCCGCCTCGTCCTTGCCCCTGGCTAGCCCCGACTTCTATGAGAGGCTGGGCCACCTCCAGCGCGGGCTGCGGGACAGGTAACAGGCAGCGGGGGCGCGGGCAGGGGGTCGGCCAGTGCCGAGGGTCTTCTGGGTGCTCCGTCCCGGCCTTCCCTCCTACGCCGGCGGTGTCCGGCCCAGGCCTGCTCGCCCACCTCCCCCCAGGCTCCCGCTGGGGGTCCTGCAGGGCCAAGTTTCTAAGGGACACGCTGTCCCCCCGTGTTGTTGGAGAGAAGGGAGCCTCCCCAGCAGCCACGGCCTAGAGCGCGCGTCCTCAGCCGGGCCGGGGTGGGGGGGACGCGGCGGGCGCCCCCTGAATTTACCCAGACACGAGAATGGGAGTTGCCTCACCCAATCAAGTCTGGCGAATTCGCGAATCATCCTTGTGCAACCCCCTCCTCCCAGCGCTGTCTCTTTACCTTGACATCCCATTTTGACTGTTGCCATCAGTAATGGCCTGGTCTGGGAAGGGAGGGTTGGTGTTTGTCAAACGCATCTCCTGATTACATACAGGAGACTGATTTTTTTTTGGGGGGGGGGGGAGGCAGCGGGGCGCTGGATAGGTTTGCAGCGAAGGAAGGGACTAAGGGAAATCCAGATTTTCCAGAATCTTCGTGATGTCTGATTCAAACGTGAAGGGTGGGAACTAGTGAAGGGAGAGGGATCTAAGCCTGCCTGCAGAGAGACCATGATGAAACAATTTACTATGAAATAACCACAAGAAAGACCAGTTGCTGGAACCCTGATTTGACTGCTCAGTTTAATTGGGAAACTCAACCGTTGACAAGAAAGGAAATAGATATTTTTGGGTTTCTTGATCCACAGTGTTTAATGAGCATTAAAAGTTGCAGAATCACCTTGCTGAACAGCAGGGGCTGTGCATGTGGCCGTTGTAAAGTGACAGCAGTACAGTGACTTCCGTGAGATAAAAACACAAGTTATTGTGAAGAGGGATGACAGTGGACTTCGGTTAGGTTTAATGCTTGTCATATACAAGGGTGCTTCCAAAAATTTACAGAAAAAAAAAACCAGAATTTTAAAAATCAACCGATTTTGCTACATTTTAAAAATCCACGCACAGTTTTTCTTTTTCCTGACACATGATTTCCGTGAAGTGTAAACTACAGTGTGGTTACAGAACATCTACCCAGGACCTGCTCCTTACACAGTCCTGGCGCTGTCTCACTTCCTTTTTTCTACCTCCTGGGTTCTTTCTGACATCGCCCCTCACCCAGCTCAGTGAGCACTTCATTCCCCACCTCAGGAAAGCGGGTTCCTGCCACAGCCTTTCCCTCCCCAGGCAGTTAGTTTCCTAACTTGCAGGACCTTGGAGTCCTAATTGCTGGAAGGAGGAAATTCCAGAGTGGACAAGCCAAGGTCTGCAAATTGCAAATGACTTCTCCAGCCTCCTCTCCCAGTAACTACACGTTGTCAGTAAGACAGTATTAAGTGTCCACATAGACTTGTGCATTTCAATAGACTTAACATGGGTTTTGACTCCGGGTCTGTTCTGTTAGAAGAGTGGCTTTTTTATCCCCAGTTTGTATTATTTGTATTTCTTACTCTGTGTTATTTGTATCTCTTAGCCTGTCTGTTATTTCCTGTCTCTTATCCTAAGTCCTGATTTGCAAATGTTATTGGTTTAAGGGACACTGTGAACTAAGTTAATTGTGCGTTATTATTTGTTGCTTCCTGTGCTAGGAACACCTGCTGTTTATGGTCCTTATGGTACAATGACTGTAATTATAACTCAATTTATTTTTAACACTTCTTTAATTATTAAGCAAAGTGAGGCTGTTGAAATTGTATAAGGAATTGGAGTTCAGTTTTATAGCCTGTTCATGGTTCTGCATTTGGAGGTTTGTTTTATTATAAAGTCAGTGCACATCTGTTGCTGCATGAATTCATTTTTCATTTTAAGAATCCGCAACTACATCTAATTAATGGCTGCTACAAGTTAACAGGCAAACAGCTTTAGACATACAGAGAGGCTGCAGTAGACACCTAGGACTTAGCTTTTGGACACTCAGTGGTTGTGTGGCACTAAGCAGTGATTGTCTGACCTCTTTTGCTGACTTTGACTTTAAGTGAATAAATAAACCTTAAAAAAAGAAAAGAGGGGGCCCGGTGCCATGGCCTAGTGGCTAAAGTCCTCACCTTGAACGCGCCGGGATCCCATATGGGTGCCGCTTCTAATCCCAGCAGCTTTACTTCCCATCCAGCTCCCTGCTTGTGGCCTGGGAAAGCAGGTGAGGACAGCCCAAAGCTTCGGGATCCTGCACCTGTGTGGGAGACCAAGAAGAGGTTCCTGGTTCCCGGCTTTGGATCAGCGCAATACCGGCTGTTGTGCTCACTTGGGGAGTGAATCATCGGATGGAAGATCTTTCCTCTCTGTCTCTCCTCCTCTCTGTATATCTGACTTTGTAATAAAAATAAATAAATCTTAAAAAAAAAAAAAGAAAAGAGGAGCTTGATTAATATGTAAAGGGAATCTTCAAATGTTTTCTCTTTGTGAATGGGCTTTGCAAAACAGTTGAAAGTTGGGGCCTGTGTGGCCCACATCTCATATGGGTACCAGTGTGGGTCCCATCCACTCGTCTTCTGCTCCATCTCCCTGCTGGTGAGGCTGGGCAAACGGTAGAAGGTGACTCAAGTGGCTCCTGCCGACCACCCGGGCGACCTGGAAGAAGCCCACTGTTGTGGCCTGTTGTGGCTATTTGGGGAGTGAAGCAATGGATACAAGTCCTCTCCCTGTGTCCTCCTCTGTAATCCTGCTTTTCAAAGACAAAGCTTGAAAAAATAAATAAATAAAGTTGAAAGCTATAAGTTTGCCAAACGATGCTTAAAGAGTATTATTGCATGCGTTGTATTTGAGTGTTTAGATGCACTGTTTTATTTTTGTTTTTAAAAGAAACAGTCCCGGGGCACACTGTCTCCCAAAATGTCATAGTCCTCTCAAAGGGCGCCACTCTGCACAGTCGGCTGGCGTGTCAGTACACAACCTTGTGTAAATGGTAGGGTAAAAAAATCACCTTTTCGAAGTGCTGTTAGAGGTTGTCATTGTAAGACTAGCTGGCCTTTGCCTCATAATAGGGACACTTATAGCTGTAATCACACATGGATGCGATTTTAGAGTTTTCCTATGTGTATATGGTGTTTCTCTGCATTGTTGTCCAAGTAAATAATTGAGTCTGAGGGCCCGTTGGTGCAGTGTGAATGGTGCGCACAGACATGGGAGAAGCATGTAAGTGCAGTTGACTCTTAGAGTTACATAAAAGCATCCCTTTGAAAGGCCCATTTACTAGCCCAGCTTTTTCAGTGCCAGCATTAATTCAGGGTCAGATATCATAATAGTACAGAAATTGATAGTGTGATATTAGCTGAGTATATAGCTGAAGATGGTGGAGAATTGTTGTATTGAAATATAAAAAGAATAGCAAGCAGTTTAAAAGGAGAGAATGAACCATATGGGGACCACTCAGCAGCGTGAACCTGGAAAGAGTACAGGTGCCTGGAAACACGGAGTGTGATTGTACATCCCAGGGCTGGGTTTATGAAGGATTCTGAAACAGATCTGATTCGGAGGAATTACAATTATAGTTACAAAGCAACAACTATAAAGCGACCCTAGCGATAAACCTTTCCTTGGCATTTCACTGGGTGACAGACATCTGATTTGTTTTTGATGCTTTATTTACTCTCTTTTACTTGGGAGGTCGAGTGATACCCACAGAGAGAATGACAGAAGTGTTCATTCCCCACATGCCTGCAGCAGCCGGAAGGCCCTATTTCCAAGTCTTAACTTTAAAATGGGTATGAAGGACATAGCATTCAAGGGGACACGGCAGCATGGCCAAGGGACTCAGAAAACGGGTGTGGGTGAAGCGTGAACTCGACAAGCACCATTTTGCCAGAAATAGAGACCCTGAGGGACTGGGTTGTGGGTTTTCAGTGTAGAAGGGAAGTGTGGCCAGTGGGTGTCTGCCTCTGCTGTAGGGAGAACAGGAACACCAGTGCTCCACATGCCACTGGAACAAGAACTTGCCGCTTACGAAGCGATGGATTTCCAAAGAGATTATGGTCATTTCTCACTGGGAATCTCATAGATGGATTGTAAAAATTATCTTAAAGTAAGTTCAGGTTTATTAAAAACAGTTGCAAATGCAGAACAGAGACTTGGATTCCTCTTGCACGGATCCTTCAGCTCTTTGCATCTTGTGACATTTCCTTCTGTCTGTCCAAGACCACGTCAGTGCTTTTTGTTTTTTTTAATATTTATTTATTGGAAAGTCAGATATACAGAGAGGAGGAGAGACAGAGAGGAAGATCTTCCGTCTGATGATTCACTCCCCAAGTGACTGCAATGGCCGATGCTATGCCGATCCGAAGCCAGGATCCAGGAACTTCTGGGTATCCCACAGGGGTGCAGGGTCCCAAAGCTTTGGGCCGTCCTTGACTGCTTTCCCAGGCCACAAGCAGGGAGCCGGATGGGAAGTGGAGCTGCCGGGATTAGAACCGGCGCCCATATGAAATCCCAGCGCATTCAAGGCGAGAACTTTAGCCACCAGGCTACCGTACCAGGCCTGTCATTCATTCTTCATGGGCTGAACACCTACTAATCCCACAACTTACGAAGGCGGGAAATAACTAATTGAAATTCCTAATGTGGAAGCAATTGTAACTAGATATTCCTTTATTTCTATTCTGACGTAAATATTATTAATAAAAAATGTATCTACATGAAACTATTGATTAAAAAATATTTTTTTTGGGGGGGGGGAGCTCAGTGTGGTGGCCTAGTGGCCGGAGTTCTTACCTTGAACGTGCCAGGATCCCACATCGATTTTTCTAAAAGCTTTTTTGACTTGAAAGACACAGTTCCAGAGGGAGGGGTAGTAGGAGGAAGTGAGTGAAGGAGAGATCAGTTGCTGGATTCATCTTCTGTCTGTCAGTTCTTTCCCCAAGTGGCTGCAGTGGCCAGGCCAGAACCCGGCTAAAGCCAGGAGCCTGGAACTGCAGCCCTGTCTGCCATGTGGGTGGCAGTCCCAGCGACGTGCACCATGCTTTCCCACGCACGTTAGCAGGGAGCAAAGATACTGTTTTTCAGTTTTGGATTATATTTTTCCGTTAGAAGAATTTTGGTTAAATATTTCCATTTGAGATTATGTCAGTCAAATACTGCCAAGGTTTTCCTGATGTTGTGTCCTTCCCTGGGCGGGCATTCTCACAGATGTGCTTCCGAGGGGGTCACTGTCTGGCTCTGACCGCTGTACTTCTGTAACTGGTTACAGAGTGTTTCCTTTCTGTATTGTAGTGAAAAGAAGAGATTGGATCTGGAAAAGAAGCTTTGTGAATATAATCAGTCAGATGTCTACAGGTAAGAGACGGCAGTGGGGTTTTAGAGTCAATTTGCATATATCTTCACGTATTTAAACCCTTACGGTGTGGTTGGAGTTCTTTCACCACTCTTATTTATAATGTGTAACAAAGTAAGCCCTGTCCTTTCATATAATTGTTATCAAATTAATAATGAATTTAATTTAGTATGAGATAAATTATTTCTATTGTTTAGTAATTTCACAAATAATATTTCAGATAGTTTGTTTAAATTTCTTTATTTTTTCTTTTTTATTGATTGATTTTTGTTTTTATAAAGTGCACACATTTCACAATACAAAATGAAGGCGCATAGTGATAATTTCTGCCCTTCCTCCTCCTGCATTCTCTGCCCTCCCTCCTCCTTCCTTGTTTGTTTCTTTCAAGTCAAATCAAATCATATGGGTGCCGGTTTGTGTCCTGGCTGCTCTGCTTCTCTTCCAACTCCCTGCTTGTAGTCTGGGGAGGCAGTGGAGAATGGCCCAGAGCACCTGTGTGGGATATCTGGAGGAGGCTTCTGTCTTTGGATCATCTGAGCTCTGGCCATTGCGAACACTTGGGGAGTGAACCAGCAGACAGAAGATCTTTCTCTGCCTCTCCATCTCTCTGTAAATCTGCCTTTCCAATAAAAATTTAAAACAATTGATTTCGTCATCTGTCAAATGGGAATAGTGATAGTTATGAAACCTCAGTGAGTTTACAGGTAGAGGGCTTTAAAGCCATGACTGATGCAAAGTCAATAATTTATCATTCATTACTGTTTTTATCAATATCCTGTTGTAATTTCTATTTATTGTCCTTGAGCTTTCTGACCTGCCATGTTCTCTGCAAAAATGTTTTTCTCTCATCTTTCAGTCCTAGTTTCTCTAATATTGGTTAACTCTTACCCATTTTTCTGTCCTCGGCTGAAAAACATTTTCCAGTGGGAAGGCTTCCCTGCCCCATTCACCTTGTGCAGGTTACCGTCTAGCCATTGCTCCGGCCATTGCGGCCAACTGGGAAGTGAACGAGCAGATGGAAAATCTCTGTTTTTCCTTGTGACTCTGACTTTCAGTTAAAGTAAATAAATCTTTTTTAAAAGTTTGCCTAAGAACTAGCTTTGTATGGCTCACCAGCTATAATGCTGACATCCTGAATGGTCACTGGTTTGAGTCCTGGCTGCTATACTTCCATTCCAGCTTTCTGCTAATGCACCTTTCCCAGAGGAAAGATGGCGCAGTGCCTGGGTCCCTGCCACCTATGGGGGAGACCTGGGTGAAAGTGGACCTGGCCCAGCTAGGCCACTGTAGTCATTTGGGAAATCATCCAACAGTTAAAAGATCTCTTTCTGTCTGTCTCTCTGGAACTCTGCCTCACAAATACATACGTTAATACTAAAAAGAAAAGTTGTTGTCCTGGGGTCAGAGGTTTAAGGTCTATTGATAATTACGCTTGGACATCTCTAACATCTTTATAAATCAGCGTGTTGTTTTTTTTTAAGAGAGGATATATTTGTGGCCTAAAAAATGTTACTTGATGAAAAAGCACCAAATAATTTATTGAAGCAAAAATAGAAAGACTTCATAACAGGAATTGTTATGATTTAAATACCTGTGAAAAGAGCTGCAGTGAGCACTGTGAAGCGCCATGCGGCACCATGTGAGCACCATGCGGCTTGAGAGGTGACGATGGCTTTTGCCGTCACACTGAGGAGGAAAATCCCCGAAGGCTTTTTCACTGTTGAAGTAGTTAACCACCATTCTAATGGTATGATGTTACAACTCAGAACATTTTTGTTATCATTTAGAAAGCTATTTTAGAATTGAAATTTTCTAGTTTTATGGATTGTTGCTGATAGTGTAATTCTGTTTCTATGAAGAAGGTAATTCTGAAATGTTCTGTTATATAAAGCATTGCCAATGTGCTGTTCTTGTGAATGTGGCCACACAGGTTGTGCTTTTGGTATTACAGCCAACTTAGAGAAATTGGTCAAAGTCTTGAGTGTAGGAATGTCCTAATGTAGACATTTCTTACGAGAGCTATGCCTTGGTGTGATGTCTCAGTGATCTGGCGTTACTTTTCTCAAAAAAGATTTAAACAGTCTGCCCTTTGACTTTTCCTGCTTAGGACACACTGTGTCATTAACAACTTTGTTAAAGAATTATTTTTCTGAGCTTTGTCAAACTTTAATGCCATTGGCTTTGTCAAACTTTAATGCCGTTGTTTTAAAATCTGTCTTTATTTTTCTAGAAATAAGCTTAAGTATGTAAAACTAAAGAAGTATCTTAAGGAAATATGTGACTCTGAGAAGAGGGCTCATGCCCGAAACAAAGAGTATCTAAAGCGATTAGAGTGTGTCGAAGCTCATGTCGGGCGGCTTGCCACAAATACCAAGAAGCTGCAAGAACTGAAGGTAACATCTCATTTTGTATACTGTTTTTTTAACTGTTCTTTTTGTGTTTTGCTAAAATCTAAGTGAATGGCAAATTTCATATTAGTAACAGTCTTTTATTCATAAACAGGATTATCAAGTTGATAAATATCAACTTTCTCTGAAATACCATGTGCTCAGTTTGATCAAAGAATTTGAAGTTGTATTTTTTTTAAAAACCCATTGATTGTGGCCAGGTGGTGGTGTAACAGGTAAATCTCCCACCTATAACACTGGCATCCCATATAAATGCTGGTTCATCTTCCGCTTGTTCCACTTCTGATGCTGCTACCTGCTAATGCTCTGGGAGAAGCGTGGGAAGGAGGATTTGGTGTCTGAGCCCCTGCCACCTATGTGGGAGATGCAGATGAAGCTTCTTGCTTTGCGCTGGCTCAGCCCTGCCCACTGAGACTTTCTGGGGAGTGAACCAGCAGATGGAAGAGCTCCTATCAATTTTCTGTCTCCCTTCTTACTCTGTAACTCAAAATCTTTTTAGAAAAAAAGGTTTATATATTAATTTGAAAGGCAGAGTTAATGGGAGGTGAAATAGAAGCAGAGAGAGACTGTCCAACTTCTGGTTTGTCACTTCTCCCTCCCCTCCAAATGACCACAATAAGCCAGGTCTGGGCCAGGATGAAGCCAGCAGCCAAGAACTCCGTCTAGGTTCCCACGTGTGTGGCAGGAGCCCAAGCTCTTGGCCGTCGTGCACTGCACGGCCGTCTCGTAGGCACATTAGCAGGGAGCTTGATCAGCAGTGAAGCAGCCAGGTCTCAAACTGGTGTTCACGTGGGATGCTGGCGTCACAGACAGTGACTTAACTGGCTGTGCCACAGTGCAGGCCCTTGAAATAATCATTTCTAGAGCTCTCATTTTAGTTGAGGGATCAATGGAATTTCTGTTGCACAGGGAAGCTCTGTGGCCCATACCTGGCACAGTGTCTGACCCACAGTATTAGTTAGGATCCCCCTCGAAACAGCTGTTTTCTGTGAAGGGCCCTGTTCCTGGTCTCCTCCTCCTGGTAAAGCTGTGTGTTGGGGAAGAACTGGGGTCGGACTGGCCCTGAGGACTTGTCTGGGAGCTTGAGGGTTTGGTGGCTCTGAGTGACCTCACTTCCCTACACTGACTAGCATGTGTTGCCTCAAAGTGCCTGGCAACCTTCTGCTCCACAAGTCATTCCAGGTCGCCAGGCTGGGGGCTAGGCCTTTGTGCTGATCAGGCAGCGTTGCTCAGCTGAAAAACTGGACTCTGGGCAAAGAGGGAATTGGCCTTAGTAATTCCCATGTTTTTCCTTTGCTGTTTTTCCTCAGTCTTTTACTGTAAACATTTCAAACGTTCATGAACGCTCATGTCTTTGAAATCTGTGCATACTGGGGTATTCAGAAAGTTCATGGAAAATACATCTTACGAAGAATGCATGGATTTCACAGGTTTTTTTTTTTTTTGCACAAAAATGAACTTATCTATTAGTTCCATTTTTCCATGAACTTTTTTGAAATGTTTTGTTTGGTTGAGTGTGTGTGTACATTTTTTTCCCTGAGTCATTGAAAAGTCAACTGCAAACATCATAACACTTTGCTGCTAAGCACTTGAGTGTGGATCTTCTGAACACAGTATTAGTCTCCTACATGTCTGTCATATTCTCATATCTAGGAAAATACATAGGAGTTCCACATATTGTGCCCAGGTTTAAATTTCCCCCATTCTCTAAAGAAATAATTTTAAAATATTTATTTATTTTTATTGGAAAGTAGGATATACAGAGAGGAGGAGAAACCGAGAGGAAGATCTTCCATCTACTGGTTCACCCCCCAAGTGGTGACAACAGTTGGAGCTATGCCAATCCAAAGTCAGGAACCAGGAGCTTCTTCTGGGTCTCCCACATGGGTGCAGAGTCCCAAGGCTTTGGACCATCCCCAACTGTTTTCCCAAGCTCCAGGCAGGGAGCTGGATGGGAAACAGGGCCACTGGGATTAGAACTGGTGCCCGTATGCGATCCTGGCGCCTATGCAAGGTGAAGACTTTAGCCACTTTTTTTTTAAACCAGGCCAGGAGCCAGGTCTTTCCGATGACCCTGTCTGTTTTGAATGGCTATTGATATGTTGAATTTTAGGTCCCACCTGCAGTTGCATTGGCAGGACCAGAACAGTTGATCTCTTCAGCCTGACACATGGCTTAGCCCTGGACACTCCCCACTTGTTCCTGGGGGATGCAAAGTCACACTTTGTATCAGCCATCAATTTATCATAGTATCTCTTTGATTGTGAAATCTCTTATAAAGTTCTTATTTGCATCGTTAACTTAGGCCAGGATGCAGGTCAGTAAGCTTTTCAGCTGTGTTTGGAATGATCTAAACTAGGCTCTTGAAGACACACATACTGTTGTTTAGAAAACTTTTGTGTAGTCATCGTGTCCTTTTTTGCGTCAGCAAAATGACTTGAATATTGGAAGGGGTGGGGGGAATCCTAGTGCCTATAGCACTGTGTCACATAATGCAATACAATTAAAAAAAAAAAAAGACTTGAATACAACTTTGATACTTCCATGGGAAAGTTCTCTGGTTCGAAAGTGTGGCTCTAAAATGTTCCCATAATGAGGAATGTAGGGTTTGTGCCCATGGATCTTAAAGGTGCACAAGAAAGCATTTGTAGTCACAGGAAAAAGGAATTTTTGTTTAATCTTGAACTATAGGTTTATTTTATAACCTATTCCCCATCTCTTTTTAAAATCATATTGGCTGGGAATTTGTGAAATATGTATTTTACTCTTGGGCTTAAAATGTAAACAGGGTGTAGATTCTACAACAGAAGACATAAATTGTGTTTTCATAATTGCTTCATGTTTTTATCTTAACATTACCATTTGTGAAACTTTTATTGAAATTAGGCATCTGTTTGGATCATTACTGCCCTCCTATCATGTTAATAGTGTCTGCTAGAGGAGAAAACTCTGCCGCACTAAAAATGGGACAGCTGGACTGGGGCGATGGACTGGGCCGGGCCCTGTACTTGCTAGCACATACAAGAATCTGGTCCGAGAACACCTCAGACAAAGTTTCTTTGGAGATTTGCCCAAACAAAATGCTGGACTCAGAACCCTAACCAAGAAAAGACAGAACAGGTCAACCAACCATCTCAGCTATATCTTGGCAGCGAAATATGGGGCAAACAGAGACTCTGTGGTGGGCTATATCAGTCAGTGGACTCTTCAAAGACCTCATAGTGCTTGGAGTGGCAAGATTGGCAGCGATTCATAACTGTTGAAATATCAAAACCACTTGAGCAAGAACCTCAGAGCATACCCTACATCCGGGACCTGGGGAGGGTGGGAAATTGGGTGGGCCTTCTCCCTTAATATCCCCGTTTAAACATGAAGGAAACAATATGGAAAAAATAATAGTCTTACCCACTTTCCTGTAGGCCTTGAACCTTTTTACCCTAATTAACTATGTGAAGATTGCCAAAATATAATAATAAAATAAAATAAACGGGACAGCTGTAATACTTTTTAAAATATTGTGAGGGAAATAGTTCAGTTTTGGTTCTTATTGGCTGTTCATATTTTGTGTGTCAGAACGAAGCTCAGCTCACTGTCATGTTTAGACTGAGAACTGAGGTGGCCGCTTCCTAACTGGTTGATCTCATAGATGTTTCTGCTTACAGCATATAACTGTCTAATTTAGAAAATGTTTTGATGCTTATCTCTGAATGACCACAGTAGGTGACATTTTGAAGGTTTTAATTACTAATGTATTGAATCAAAGAGCTTTTTTATGCTATGCTTTTAAGAAAAAAATCATTATAATCATAATCACTTGTATCAGTTATAGTGTGGTAATGACGCATGGGTGTCTGCACAGTCGTTGGTCCCGAAGAAGGCTGGCTTCCTCAGTGCTGGCCGTTCATTGATGGCTGCGGCGCGTGTTAACCCGGGCAGAAGGACGTTGGCTTGAGCTGATCCAGCAATGATGTACTCAAGTGCTGTGACTGTTAGGGCCAGGATATTAGATAGGAAATCAGTAGGACTGATGTGTTTGCTTGGCTTAGGATTGAACTTCTCACAACACTGTCTAATATGCTCCTTTCATAACAAAATAGCTGGAAATTTATAATGGCTTAATGAAACTGTGAAACTGCTGTGTGTATACATTACATATATGAATTGAATATATATGACATAAAAGATTCGTGTACATATATATGATACATGAAACTTCTCAGTTGATGAAAGATTGAGTTGAAAATGTGTGTGATGTTGTGTAGAATTCCACTTCTGATATGTGTCCTTTGTAAAGTTACTTTTTTCTGAGATAAGTTGAATCTCTTGGCAATATTAGATTTTACTTTCTGTTTTTCCATTTTTTTTACATTGTAAAGACTGGAATACAGATAGGTTCTATTTGTAATAATACCCACCACAAAAATCAAACTTTGCTTATTTTCAGATTGAATATGAGACTCAGATTAAGAAAATGCAGCAACTCTCAAAAGGTGGCCTAGGAGTAAAAGACAAATTGAAAGATCCAGATGAAAGAAAGGTAATGAAATAATAAACTTCCTGTTTATGGGGGGTTTCCAGACTGCTCATATTTTAAATTATTTTACATAAAATCATGTTATTACAAAGTTTTAAAAAATTAAATCTTAAATGACTGTTTGAAGATTTTTTTTTTTGCTTATTGCTTTAAATTCTAATTAATTTGCTGAAAGGCACTTACTTTGTGTTTAAGACACAGAATCGAAAGTCCAAAGAAAATCTCAGTGCTGTTAGCAGGTGACATTGTGTTTTTCTAAATAATGCTTGGTAGCTGCTTTTGTCATAGTTTGAGAAGTGTTTTAAATGAAGAGTAAACAAAGCATGCCATTCTGATTCTTTGCTTTGTATTTATAGTTTTGTGTGTTTCAACCCTTCCACAGAGAAAGTGGAAAGAAAGGATTGCAAGTCTAAGCAATAGACAAAAAGACCGCCAAGGAATACTTAAATAAATTCTGCTATGTGTCTGCCATAATGCAGGCTTCTAATCCTGCTGCCTATCTCCATAGAAATGATTCTGCTCAAGACCATAGATGTTTTCTTCACTAAAAGCAGTAAAGCTCTTTTAGATGAAATGTCTAAAAACATCTTGTAATAACTTGGAGCATGCTGGCAAGAGTAGTCACTTGTGACTATGTGTGAAACCCCCTCAGCCAGTCGATATTGTAATAAGCAGAAATGGTAGCATCACTCCATTATTCAGGAAAGCCAACAGCGTGCTTGTTCCTTAGGCTGCAGCATTCATTAAGAAAAGCTTACTGGGCTGAAAGCTGGAAACAGATGATAACGGGATATGATTTTCATATTTAATGCTTTCCTTGGAAGAGTATGTGTGCTACAGATTGATAGAAGAATCAACTGCTACTTTACTAAAAGACTTTCAGGTTTGCCCTATAGCTACCGATGGAATCATTCAGCCAAGAAATTAACTTTTTCTCCTTTTACCTGCTTTATATATCTGCTGAGCAGACTGCCTGGCTGCCAGTAAATGTTATTATGCAGTTAACTGTTTGGTATTTAAGACTCTTATCAGAAAGGAAACAGAGGCCCCACTATTTTGTTTTTATAGTAGGAAGAAGGTCTTGGTTTTTCTTTGTTCCATGCATTAGCAGACATTAATCTGAGTTTATAGGAAGTTTTAGTTTTCTTTCCCCATAGATTAAAAAGTTAAAAAAATCCAGAATTTAGCACCTTCTTTAAACTGTGAAGATACAAAACACCAAGCCGCAGCAACCTTGACCTGTATAGAAAGGCCTTTCATTATAAATGATTTTATGTCATTAGATGTAGGCCAAACGTGGTGTGATGTGATAGGCTTCCAAGCCATGCAGGCAGTTTTTCTGTCTGACGTTTGGTCATGAAATAATTGACGTGTCTTTAATCTATAAGCCGGTTTGTTCTTTCTATGACATTCCTGATAGACACATTCTCAGGACACCAGTGTCAATGGTACTTAAGTAAAATGGGAGATCTTTTTTCTATTTGCATTAGATTCTCTACCTTCCACATAGCAGTGGATTCTCCTTTTAAGTCACATTTAAAATAACATCCAGGCGACAAACTCTTAAGCTGCTACATATAATAATTAGAAGAGAAGTGTGTTCTTTTATATTGAAAGATATCATCTTAAAAGCTTTGACAATTCACTGTATGTAAGTATCAATTAACATTTTGAGAAACTTACATCCTGTTTTTTCCAATTTGCCTTTGATGTTTGATCAATTCACAGGTAAATAGATTTCAGCAAATTTGTGACTTATTTAATCCTTATTATACCCGACTCCCAGACAGTTCATATCATCTGAGTCTTGTTGTCTTTTTCAGTGGAATCTGAATTGCTCTTCTTAGGGCACTCATGTGAGTGAGTCTCTGGGGGCTCGACTAATGCCTAGGCCAGTCAGTCTCACTGCTTAACCACACGTACTCTGTTGGAGAAGCCACAGTAAGAACCCCCTACGAATGCCACAATTCTGTCCTTAGGGTGCTGCTCACAAAATAATTTTCTTTCTAAGTCACAGGATAGTCTGTCATGAGTGCCCACTACAGGAGACAGGCGCAAGCTAAGTGGAGAAGGAGTGTACTGCCTTCTCTGAAATGACAAATCTCAGTGCTGGTGAAGAAGATGATGTGTGGGCTGATGTTGGAGGACGACCAGGATGCCAGTCAGTAGGGGTGAGATAGGTAATCCAGGAGTAGGATGTGTTAGGAAGGCCCAAGGCAGTAGGGCAGCCTCATGTCTAAAGTTCTAAAGGGACATGGCGGAAACTGTGCTTGGGAAGGGATGCTGTGATGCTCAGTACCTGGAATTAAGGTGCTAGGCTTGAGAACTGAGATCTCCTCCTGCAATTTTGGTGTGTCTGTGTGTGCAAGCACAGATAGAGGGAGGATGTATGAGCAGGTGGGTTGCATCACGGGTGTGGCTACAGTTCAACCCTGGCAGTGCTGTGCAGGGTGGATCTGGGAAAGAGTGAGGAAGCTGAGGAAACAGGAGGACTGACTTACCTGAGGGCCTGGGGTGGGACTGGCCATCGAAGTGGAGAACACTGATGAAGGCAAAGGATAAAATCAGTGATAGTTCTGAATACAAAAAAGATATTTCTAAAAAGTGGTTATGCAGCTTTCAACCCCAAGTTGTACTTACATGTCAAGTCGTTAAGTAGTGATTATTCTTTTTCAGTGTAAAACTCTGGCTCAACTTTGTAATTAGACATCCATTGTTTGCATGTGTCAATGGCTGCCTTGAAGAGTCAGCTGCTCTCTTAGAAGGATGAAGAAGCAGTCTGCACATGTCCTAAGCTTGATTTCACTGTTCATTAAAATAGGTGGCAAAACCACAAAATTCAGGCTCCATTTTTACATTTTTTTTTATTAAAATGAAGATAACAGATTTCATAGATACTATCCTAAGAATATAATAATAGCTTCTTCCTTCCCTTCCTCCCTTTTTTGTTTATATAATAATTCATTTTACTTTTAATGATGTTCACATAGTTGAGAGGAATGAGTGCCCATGTGGACCATTGATTAGGGTGGGGAGGGTTGAGGAGTAAGGGAAAATGGATGGCACATCTGCTTCCATTCTCCTTTTTTCTTCCCATATCTTGGGAAAGTGCCGGGAGAAGGCGAAAAGGCCCCTCCCAGCAGTCCAACTACATCAGTACCTGGGATTGGGGGGCAGCCACCTGATGTCATCACAGGGTCCCTAATATGGAGCGTGTTCTTAGGGTACTGCCTAAGTGGTTTTGATAGTTCTGAGGTGATGTTGCTTTCATTGCTCCAAGGTTGAGAAAATCCTTCCAAGGTCTATTTGTCAGCATAGTCCACGTTAGAATCTCAGTTTGCCCAGATACTTGCTGTCAAAGCTTGGCCCAGAGAACTGTCTAATTTGTTCTACCTCCAACAGTACTAGACGTCCTCTGCAGGCCTCAATGACCTGATTGTCATGTCTCCCATAAGCATCTGGACATACCATTCACTGCTCCTGTGCATACCAGTGTGCTATGGTTTGGCCTGGCCCTGCCCAGTTTGCCCCTGCAGAGCCAACCTACACACCTGCTGACAAGAGAAGCAGTCCTGCTCGCCCTGACCAATACCCAGTCCTGAGTCACGTACTCACCAGTGAAAGTGACAGCACACCAGGGGAGTTTCCCAAGTTCCCCCACCAGGCCTACTCCCAGACCCAGATCTCACATGTGCCAGCAGGTGTTAGACCCTTACCTGACAGTCTGTTCCTTAGTATTGGCCTTTGTATGTGCTGGTGGATTTTGTGGCCTACTTCATACCCCAATTCTTGGTCGCGCCTACACATGCTACAGCATGGACCAGCCCCAGCCTGTTTCTAACCCCAGGGCCATCAGTGTTGGTAAGTTCCAAGGTTATGCCTTGCTTGGTCCATCGCTACCCCCAGCCCTCATGCAAACCAGCTGGTGTGGCATTCCCTCAGGGATGAACATACGATCCCCCACAGAATCTGCTCCCAGATCCAATTCCCTCATGTGCTGGTTAGTGTCATGGCCCAGCTTAACATGGTCCACACCCTGGCCTGACATTCACTGGTGGGTACTATGGTCATGCCCTGCCAGGCAACCCTCCTGCAGTGGCTTTTGTGAGCGTTGATAAGCAGTGTTCAGTATCAATCAGCCCAGCTCAGGTCTCCCATGTGGGCAGGTATATTGGTTTGGCCTCAGAAGGTCCTCCAGTTTCCTTCCCCTAAACCACCCAGTCTTAGTTCCCTTGTTTACCTACAAGTAGAGTAGCCTGGTTGATGGAAGTCCCCCCAGAAATCACCTCTCACCTGTCATGTTCTCCTTCAGCAGTCCTCTCTCCCAAACATCTCTAGACCCACCACCCTGAGCAATCCACAGCCCCATATGCTTGCACTTACACGGATCCCCGAGCCCTGTTTTCTAGCCGTGTGCCATGGCAGCATGGGTCCTTTCCTGCCTACCCAGGGCCCACACATACTCGTGCACAGGTCTCCAGGCCCTGTCTGCTGGCATGCAGGCCTCGGCCCCCCCACATATCTTGAAAAAAAAAATAGAGTAGGCAACTATGCCAGCACTCTGGTAGACTTAACACAGATTTGGTATTAACCAAGCCCAGGATGGCTGCCAATTATTAACTGCTTTTGCCCTAGCCATGTAACACTTGCCTAGGTAAAATGCAACATAGGCAGTTGCCTGCAGCTGGGGTCTTTTTTCTTTTAATTTTTTGCAGTAACATACTTTGAATTTACAATCATAGGCTTAATGCTCCTCTAAATAAGAGGTTCTACAAGTAAAAAGTAGATTGCTGTTCCACAGGAATAGAGAAAACCATTTTATGGTTTCAGAGCAGCCCAGCTGCAACTATTTGGCCTTTTGCAGAGTGAACCAGTGGAGGGAAGGTCTTTCTCTCTGTCTCTCCTTCTCTCTGTGTAACTGCCTTTTCAATAAAAATAAATAAATTTTTAAAAGAAAAAACATTGCTTGAGTCGAGGTCATGAAGATATACATTGATGTTTTA